TTGCAAGAACAAGAAAGACAAATTTTCTTTACATTTTGTTTTTATTTGTCATAGTCGTAGCCATTGGATAAATGTTATGAGAAATGCTTTCGTTTGCGTTATAACTAATAAATTCTAGGGCTGTACTCATACCAGGGAAAGGTGGCTTTTCATATCAAGATCTGTATGTTAGAACGCCAAAGAATATCGAAAAGAAGTTAAACATGCCTTTTCTCTTAAAAAACATTTTCGTTACTTCGTTACCTTCAGGAGAGTAACGAAGTAACTAAATTAATCAGTTACTAGTTACTAGTAACGAGTAACTGCACTAGTTATTTGGTTACTGGTAACGAGTAACTAATCTAGTTACTAGTAAAGTAAAGGTAAAGTGCCACCCCTACACCTGAGAAATATAAACAAAACAAAAATAATCATCAGAGTAAGACTTACATAACTAAAAAACAAACCCATAGAAGAACATCTCAGAAAATTCTGAGCAAAGATACTTTCATTTCCTTTTTCGTTGTACTATCTCTGGTATAAGTCTGAGCGTGTAATCGGACGTGTGCTCCGCGTTTGGCAACAAGGTGAAAAAAGAGGGGAGGGGAGTAAAAAACCGACTTTGCTTCAAAAATTATTTTCGTTTCATCCAGCTGTAGAGTTCAAGTTCACATTTATTTTGCATAAGCAAGGACATCACAAAGAAAGTAAACGTTTAACAACTTATAGCATCTAGTAAACAGAAGCCTTAGTGGTACCCGTATAACTGTAGAGCTCATCGAGTTGCCCATATCTCTAAATTTTACTGATGATTGGGCTAATTTTGAGTATGAAAATAAATGTTTAAGTATTCTAGACTAGACTCTTCGATCATTGTTTTTCAAAAGTTAGTACATAGTTCTCTTAGACCTCTTACATTGAAGCAAATGTTGAATGCGTCGGATGTGACGAAAACCATCTCAAACTGACTCAGAGAAAACATATAACGGCGTAACGGTGACTAACTGTCACGATTTAATGAGTGTTTTCTTATTTCTTAATTTTATTTAGAAATGAATTTGTACATCTGACAACAAATTACTTAATAAATAAAAATACTCAAGTTATATTTTTATCCAGCTCAGCACCAATGAGTTGTTTTTGGCTTCTTTATCTTATTATTATTATTATTATTTCATTTTTTGATAACATATAACAAAACAAAATAAAACCATCAGAAACATTTTAAAATATTAAGAATGAATGGGCTAGTTTAAAATTAATAAAGTATGGCGCTCATACAAGTAGAGAAACTACTACAGAAAGTGATAATCGTTCTGTTCCGTTGTTGTTTAATAGGAACAAAAGTTCTTAAAGTTTTAAAGGTGTTTATGGAAGAAAATTAGATTTTTCCATGAAATAGATAAAACCATTTTTCTCACTTAATGGTCATAAAGAAGCCACTACCAGCTATACAACAGTTTTTTTATAAATAAAGATCCTATTCCACGTCAGCTTCAGTCAAATGTGATTTAACATCTATACTGCAGTGATTCGGATGGCAATGATGACTACATAGGTAAAATAGTGTGACAAACATTTCGTCATTTTGTTAAACATGGTGGATAAAATTGACTGGTCACCCCTCCAAATAATGGTGATGATAATGATTAGGTAGTGAGTAGGCCTGTGTCATGGTTACTTGTACTGCAGTTTCTCGATAACGGGAACTGTTTTTCAGTTCGCGGTCAATAAACTGGAATGGTTTTTCAGTTTTCGTTCCTGAACTAGACGGTTCAACAGTTCACGTTTCTAGAAACGAGAAATAGTTCAGCAGTTCCAGTTCAAGAAAAAATATTTAGAGTGTACTGAGAACTGTGTGGGTTAAATTAATTTTCAAAGGGGTTAACTTCACTCTACACCAATTTTCAAAATTTACCATACATTTCAGTCAATAAGTCTCGTTTATATTAAACAAGACATCTGTTCATAGATCATCGTATTTTTTTAGGTCATCTGCATGTAAAACGAAAATATCTTTTACTCGCTGAAAGACCGTACACCTTTCTGTAATCGTGCACAAAAATGTCAAAAGATTTTTTAGTGCACGGAAAATAGCAAACCTTGTACAATTCCGGAAAAAACCGTGCACATAAAACATTTCCCCCTTCACTTCACTCTATCTAGTATATATAATTTATACTATATACAGTTTAGGAATCCATATTTTATATTTAAATCCATATTACATATTTAAAATAGAAACTACAAGCTCATTTTTCAAACTGATATCATTTTTCAGAATGGCTAGAATATGCCATTTCCAAACTGAGATCATTTTTATTTCTTTAATTATAAAAAGTGATCTCAATTAAGAAGCCTCAGCTCAAGTATATCATACAGTTTCCGGTTCAAAAAGAACTGTAGTTCCCCTTCGTAGGAACTGGAACCAGTGAACCGTTCTTCGTTTCTAGAAACGTGACTTATTGAATCGTTTCTAGTTCAGGAACCGAAACTGAAAAACAGTTCTCGCTCAAAGAACGGGAACCGCAAACTGTCACAGGCCTAGTAGTGAGAGGTCTAGATTCACATAATTATTCATTCTATGATGTCATTGTAGGCACAAGACAACGTGTTAAAATATCGAGCTCGTTCGGTACCTTATAACATTGAATTACACCGTTCTATTCGTTTAAAAGAACGTAATGCACCACTACCAGGTTTTCAAATGATTGAAGAACATTTTGATGGTAATGATTAAAAAACCAACAACGACCGATGATGAGAATCAGACGCCATTTTTATTTAATTAAAGAAGCAAATTAAATAGAAAAATAAGCTAATTTTTTTTAAAAGATGTTTTCAACTGTTAAATATTTCATATGTAACATGTACTGTTATGAGATTGATGCCTAATTACTGAATAACAATGGTATCACGCTTACTATCATCATCATTAAACCATTTTGTCGAAATGCAGGAGCAAGACCTGGCACTGTGACATTTGTCAGCGTACTACTACCCGTACTACTACTGGTTGCTGCTGTTAATGTTGTGTTTGACGATGTTACCCAGATGACGCCGTTCATGTCAGTGTGAACGCCGCAGTGGAATGGATAGAAGCCGACCTGTGTAAACGTGAACGAGACTATTGCGCCAGAGGTGGTCTCGATGATTGGATTGGGACTATCTCCTCCACTTCCTGACCGTAAATTTGGTTCTAAAGGATGAGTGGTGAACGATCCGGAGAATGTGACCGTCGTCCCAGTCGAGATCATAAGACAACCTGGGTCATATCCAAATGTGCCTTGACGAAATGCGATAGTTGTAGGTGTCATTTGATAGGAACTTTCGGAAGTGCACGGAAATAGCGAGGTGAAATTGGAGCCAGCGATTGTGGGACCCAATAAAACTATTAGAACGAGTATTTTTATGGATGCTGCTAATACCATGTTTGGATTCGGTGCTTATGAATGAAATATTTTTCTATTGCCACTTTATAAAGGCTTTACCTGTTTCGTAACAAGTGCATGTATAATTCGTTCATTCATTTTCAACTTAAATAAATGATCTACATAAAAAAGAAAAAGAAAAATAAGAACAAGAAAATTTTGTTTAGACAAAAATTATTCTTTTTAGTAACATCTTATCAAACAAATATATTGAACGTTTTCATAGGTAGCACATTGCGAAAATCAACTAAGCAGAAAATGTACTGTTTATTTTTCCTCGTGTCCTGCCCAAAATATTTTCATATACTCATTTAAAAGCTTTAACTATCAGCAACGTGATGAACGATTATATAGTGAAATTTTCTCGAGTTTCATTTTCCTAGAGTTTCAACATTTACTCAAAAACTGTGAAGCAGCAGGTTATAAGCAATACTTTTAAGCCAGATCTCCAATAAGATCTTCGGTTTAGATGTCCAGCAGGTCGTAAAACTTTACATGGAGCTGTCAAAATCGGAAATTTTCTATCTTTCCTTTTAAATCATGTGTCCAAGAAATTATTAAATCTACCTAACGAAATTTCGACATTTTCTTATGTGACTTGATATTTATCCAGCCTAAGTTCAAGTTCAATTTATTTTGCTGGATGAATAGAAACTAGAGAGATAAACCTACTAAAATGCTTGCCTATTGTAAAACAAATAGAAAAAAAGGAAAAATGCATAAACCTAGTACTGATACACAAAAAGAAACGATTTCATCTACTGGAATAAAAAAACTGAACTAACTGAATCATGAGTAAAATTATCCTTCTAAGAATTCTTTATAACCTTATAATAGAATAGAATTTTGTTTTCATAATGTTTAAACGATTTAACTACATCTAACAGGTGAGTCTGCACTTACTCTGTATTCTAAGCCCAATATAAAGCGTTAGTAGCAAAATCTGGTTGCTTCTTTATTTTACGCGTTTCCTTCTGTCTTATTTATCTCTTTATTATGTATTTTCTTTCATGTTTGCACATTTTAAAAACAAGAAATTAAATGCATGAATGAAAGACCATTCCACAGATGACATCTTTCCTTTTTTGTTGAAATATTAATACAACAAGGTACGTAATACAGTAACTGCTTTCAATTTAATTGAGTTTGGTAAGCTCCGATAGGGCGGCCATGGACACCCTGATACCTTGATATAGCAACCCTATCTAGTTTTTTGTCTGAAGAGCCTTACTCGACTTTCCATTCCATATACCATTCGAATGGTCAAGGAATAAAAGTATGTTTCGGTTCTGTAAAATTTTGTTCCCTCACTGAGAAAAGTCAATTCTAGGGGGGGGGGAGGGGAGGAATCGTAATTTGGCTCCTAATTCATAATTTTCTCCATCCGAACTTAACTTTTACGCTGAAAATACCATTATCGAAATCCCCCTCGAAAATCGAGTCGAATGATGTATATTTCAAAATTTTTCGTTCACTTCCGTTTTCTGATGAGAATCTCAGTAATTCTTCGACGCGAGAAAACTGAAAATCAACGGCTCCATTTTTAAAATGTGCGAACGTGAAAGAAAAGACATAGTAAAGAGAGAAATAACGCAGAAGGAAAACCTTAAAATAAAGAATCGATCAGATTTTTCTGCTTCAATTCAGTTCAATTCATCGGTAACTGGAATTGGAAAGAAAATTCATGTCAAAAGATATTTATGTCAAAAGAAGAACTTTCAGAAAAAATCTTATTACTTTTATTGCTTATTATTTACATTTTAAAAATAAGAAATTAAATGCATGAATGAAAGACCATCCCACAGATGACATCTTTCCTTTTTGTTGAAATATTAATACAACAAGGTACGTAATATAGTCACTGCTTTCAATTTAAATGTGTTTGAAACAGTAAAAACGACAGAAAAAGTTTAAGTAAATTAGGTAAGATTGTCTCTCAAAGATATCCTTGAGACTGAAAATAGTTACTGCATTACGTTGCAAAGGCCATTGTTTTTTTTCTACAAAAACAGTTAGACATTCTTCAGAGACATCCGTAATTTCTTAATTGTACTCTAGTTCCAATGGGGCTTGCCTCGATTTATCCATAATTTCTTACTATGTTTAGAAAAAGCGAAAAAACTCTGTTTGTTTGCTGGAGGCGAACAATATACTCTAAATCCATCCTCTATCTATAATGTAACAATAATTTACGTGCTTTGAAATTTTATTTCCTTCTCTAAGCCTTAATACAGTGATGTCCAAGATACGGCATATAACATATATATATGCATCATAAAACACAATAACAAACAGGTGGTTAACTCCACAGTCCACATTAGCTTCAAATCGTTTCATCTCTCATTGCTTCCGGTTAATTGACATCCCAATTGGCAGATATATATCTACCATTAAGAATATCGGATCTCCATAATGTCAAATAAATGCAAATCCACCTGCTAATTCTGGACTATTTATGAGCATGTGGTGAATATTTTCATTTATTTAGTTCTGCAGAAACACTTTTATCACAACTTCTGAGCGATAGATCGTATAAATGATCGTGTTTTTCGAAATCTTTCGCGTTGTGATTTTATCTGGCAATCGGCCCACGGTTCACCTTGTTCGACTATTCTAACTCTCCTGGGTCCACTACTATTGTTCTTGTTTCTTCAAAGACTATCATCTCTATTGAATACTGATCATACGTTCGCTGTAGATGTTGTTGATCATAAACATGTGGCTGAAAGTGTCTTTGACCATCTGCACCTTGACTGTGGTGATTTTCTTCCACTGAATGTTATTTTTGTATTCCTTCGATAAATGCACTCCTTGTCCTAATATCATTCTGCCTCTTGATATACCAAAGTAAACGCTCCGTCCAATCGCTGTCCACTCATTGATACCACGTCACAGTTATTCGTAATATATTTCGACCAATTTGTCACCTGGACATAGCATGCACTGGAAGATTTGTATGGTGTTGCAAACAATTTTCTTCTCTTAACGACACTAATATATGTTGGAAGCGATCTTGAACCATTGAGCCGCTCACGTAATTAACTTTCTTTTGTAATTCGTTCTTGTGGTTTATCTAATCCTTATTTCAGACGTGGTTTGTAACATGTAATAGGTTCGTTCGTGCTTACTGCGATGTTGGATTGACAGTAAGCCAGCTAGTGCACCGATATGTTACCCTCCACAGATTTTATTGGAAAGAATAAAATCTTACAAAACGTCAAAATCAAAAAACTACTTTGTGTGTACAATTAAACACTATATATAGATAAAGAAAGAATGTTGACTCAACAAAAACTGAGTCAACGTTCTTTGTGGTCATGAGAAATGAATAGCGAAAGCAGAAAGAGAAAGGATTGTCAGTGAGGACTGACATAACAAATACCAACACTCTCAGTGTTTTTCATTGACTCAACTGCCTTAATAATATCGTCCAATATGCTAGTGTTGATGGTTGCTCTTTAAAATTCATTGAATTATGCCTACCCCTTGTCTCGTATCATCTGCTTCATATTTTTCAGTTGTCACTCACAACAAAATATTTCCTCCTCAATGGAAAATAGCTAGTGGGACACCTGTTTATAAGGTAGTTTTGTCGTTTTTGAATGCGTAAGGTTAAAAATAGAAATTGAAGAATAGTTATGACTAACATTCTAAGAAAAATTCATTAGAATTTTAACTTATTAGCCACAACTATTCTTAAAGTTCTGTTTGTCGTTTTGTAGTTGTATAAAATACGGAATCATGGTTATAGCTATAAAATGATATCTTTCCGGTTGAGTAATTGGGATAGTCTTGAATTGGTTTAGGTTTAGAGCGAGACTTAGATCCGTCGACATCCAGGAGCAGAGGCAGAATCAATGGAGGGTGTCAGCTGTCGGTATTTGTCACGCAATCCCCATGGTATTTGACGAACAATTCATCCGAGATTTTGATGACAATCAGAATGAAATTTTGCTGTTATAATGGCCAATAGCATCTGAAAATGATGAATAAACAACACTGTATAACAATAAACAACACACAACGCGAAAAAAGGTCGTTATTTTTCAGCATAACTACTATTAATTTTTCCTGTTAGGTCTCTTTTCTGCTATTAGCCTGTCTCATGAGGGAGAGCTGAACAGTCCCGATGAAATAAGTGAAGAAGGATGCTACACATTTTTAATGACTAAACACACAGAATCACACGATAAACAGTCACAGAAACAAAAGGAAATAATATGTTATGGGAATTAGCAGCTGAAAATTCACCGTGATGTAAGTGAAAGACGGGTTTTTATCTGTATAGTTTCACTCTATAGGCAAAGAAATGGTTTATTATTCAGTCATATTATTAATTTGTGCTATCCCACATGAGTTTACGATTGCCGGGACCGACGTCGCTGAATCTGACTCGCTATGGTCCACTGATATGGGCAATTCTCAAAATACTTATCGCATTGTACCATCCATGGCCACCGAGTATTCAAAAATACCATGGACCTATGAATACAATTTAACGTCACAAGACGTCACTGACTTTGGTCAAGGCGCCGGTATTAACGGTGACGTTTACTTTTTCTTGAGCGAAGAAAGATCTCACCCAGGCAAGTGTCTCTTCTGTCCTGCTTATCCGTCATGTACAATATTTGTTATTGTGAAGTTCATAAACAAAACTAAGCGGGTGTAGATTGTTGCACTCAATTTTGCCGGATATTAAGCATTTTTCGCCCCCTTGCCCCTATCGTTATCCGTTTCTGGGTCGTCTCTTAGAAAAGGCTCTGGAAAGGAGTTTCAGATTGTGGCCCGAAATGACTTGTACTGACATTTTATAGAACTTCATACTATTTCGATATATGTATTTTCTATACAAAAGAGAAGAAACTCTGAACTGAAACTCTGCGAAACTCTGAAACTCTGCGAGAGAAACTGATAAACAATACACAAAAATTTTCCCTGTCCACTTTACACCGGAAAAATGGCCGCGTAGTGTAAGGAAGCACACAATCGAGAACTAAACACAGTCACTCTAAAAACGTCCACTTATAAGCGTAACGCTTCATACGTTACTTAAAGATGTTTTTGAGTGTCCTGAGGCTCCGTTTCGGCGTTCAGCAGATATAGTTTGATTTCCGTTTGGGTTCTAAGGAAAAGTTTCACATTTTCAAACATAAGCTTAAGCTGACAAAGATGGTTTTTTATTCAGGTGATTTTATGATGTGTCTAACTCCAAACGGTATTGTTCGCTGGAAACTTCCTGTTGAGCCGGTACCAGACATGGAGCCTATTGGCATTTCCAACATTATTTCTGATCGACAAGGACAGCTCTACTATACTATCTCTTGGTCAGGTGATACAATCTATACAGCAAAAATCTGTCGAATCACGCATGCTCAAACGTCACATCCCGTTCAAAAGTGTATCGAAAACTATCAATTATTTATGTACATCAAGTCGCCATTGGCTTTGAATGAAAAATACGATCTCTTGGTGACGGCTGTCAGTGATAATGAGATGGACTCGGTGCCGGCTACTTTGAACAAAACGACACTGGATCTGCTGTGGGTAAATAGACACTTTTTTGGTGCAGGCATGGACGGACACTATCGATGTGACACGAATATGGGCGACATGTTCTGGATAGGCGGTGATGGTAACTTGTTGAAATTTCGACACGATGGACAGAATCTGATAAACAATTATACACAGTCTGACGGCTTTGGTGGAGACTTTGTTTTAGACCAGCAACAGCAAATAATTATACTGTCATGGCAAAACATGACTCGTTTACCGTGGGAACTTGTCGTTTCGTCGTATGATGTGTCAACAAAAGAAATCAAACTACGATGGAACTGGTATGCGCCCCCTTCAATTGCTGAAAATGATGATATAACAACGCCTAGTGTAGACGAGAACGGCACAGTTTATATGTCGAGTATGCCTCTCGCATTCGCCATCGACAGTCTGGGCAAAACGGTGTGGACATGCGAGTTGGCAACATCAAGTGAAATGAAAACATTCAACTTATTTTCCTATTGTCTTACAATGAATTCAAAACGACGAGTTCTCTACATTGTGTCTGGTTCTCCATATTCTCAAAAGCCGCCGCATTTCTTATATTTCATCACTGCCGTTAACATGGATACCGGCAAGGTGATTAAACGCATCGATTTGAGTCTGGGACATGATAAACCCATCACACCGCAATGTCCGATTTTAATTGGTGACGAAATGCTCTATTTTTTCTGGCTAACGGGACGGTATCCCGAACTAGTGCCGTTCAAAGTAACAGGCATCGATCAAATTTAAACGCCGAAGCAGTTGTGTTCCCCTACTTTTGCGTATGAAAAGGTTAATATGAAAATTATCATGATCGATACGAAAAATGAAAAGAAAGCCAGGCAGTAGAATTATTTTTTGTATCACACGTTTTGATATGCGAATACTGTAGTCTTAAAAAAAAGAAATAATTTAAGTATATAGAAGCATGCTCTCTGTGGAGCCCAGTCAGAGACCGTAGCGAGTTAATATCGGGCAACCATGGCATTTCTGGGTGGCTCCAGACCGAATTTTCATTTCAAAAAAATTCAATCATCATTATATCCGAAACCGTTTGGCAGCAACAATTTTTTTCCTCACGAAAGTGGAAACGGTGGCTATTTAAAGGACAACGGACGGTCTCCGCAAGAAAACCGCCCTATATATTTTGAGAAGATAACGACTGGAACTGATCAGAAACCGTTCCTTATTTTATTTCTATTTTTTCTGCTCCTTAAAAGTTCATTGTAGACTACCATATGATGAAGTTTTTAATCATTTCTGAGCAACGGTCCAGAAAGTCCCTTCGACCGGATTTATTCATTTTTCTCGGAAAGCTCGACGTTCTTAATAGAATCTTATGTACGAAAACATGCGTAATTAAACGGGCTTTAAAATGATATGTAACACATCTTTTCAAAAGGATGTCTTCATAGATGTATTGCTCAAATACTAGACAAGAAGATTGATTTTCGTCGTAGTGGCAAACAAAAATGATTATAGTTTCTTCCACAGATAGAGATTAGAAGGTCCAAAAAAACGACCAGTAAATAAGCCGTTAACTTGCCATTTTTAGCATGGCCGTTTCACGGTCGAAAAATCGTCTGAAAATGTCCAGGGTCAGAAAACGGACAGTTAACGGCCATCATTTACTGACCGTTTGCCAAACCTTTCGAGAGCTTTCACGGTTCTTTATGTTTTAATTATAGCACAAAAACGCTTGATTATTTCGAATTGAGCCAGTGCTGTATTTTGAAGAGCACACTTTGTTCTACAAAATAAGACGTTTTCAGGACCTACCATATTCCCTACGTGTATTATACGCAAAAATAAAAAGCGGAAAATGGTAACGCACTGACACTCCGGTAGCAGAGTAACACGATTTCCATGTTGATTCAATTAATTAGTCGAGTCACATCAATTTCATACTATACACTCTATTATAGGATCGAAAAGAAATCCATCTGCTAACATGTCTTGTCAAGACAGCGAAATATAAAACGGGGAAAAAGATGAATATTGGAAGTTCATTACACAACTTCAGTCATTGTACAGAATATAAACACAGAGCAGTATATTTGGTGTTTACTGTAAAGTAAACTGTATTTATATGTAAAAAAACACCGGCGTGGACGAATTTATTCATTTCTGAGTTAAACTTTATGTTATTATTCACATGAGAAAGTAATATGGTAATAAATACTTTATCCGTTTCCGTTAAGTATATGATTACTTAATGATTCAAGTTAAATATAACAATCTGCCGCAGTATTTAACATTGTTTTATTTTACTAGTTGAGCAAAAAAAAACATAAATCTCTAGAAAAAATGAACGTCACGAGGTTAAATGAATATGCGCCTGTTTTACTTCAGCTAAACCGATATGTAGTAACCATTGAAATTATTTTTGGAACAATTGGTAGCATTCTCAATATAATTGTATTTAGTAGAAATACTTTTCGCACCAAGTCTTGTACAAAATATTTTCTCACTTCCGCAATAAACACACTAGTTGTACTCGATATCGGAGGTGTTACTCGTTTACTCGAGGCTGGCTACACGATCAAAAGCATTTCAACTATACCTTATTACATGAGAATTCGGGCCTTTCTGTTTCATTCTCTAATCACTTTCTCGCAGTTTTGTATTGTTCTCGCATCAACTGATCGATATTTAATTTCGTCTACTTTGTTCTTCTTGTTTTTATTCTTCTGATACGTGCGTGTATGCTTTAGAAAAATTCTTTTGTATTCTGCACTATTTTGTTGATCATACAACGTGGATCACTGGATCCGCTGGTATGACTTCAAAATGTAATATCAAATGCTTTCAAATAAAGATAGTTTAGACTAACTAAAAGTTGTTGCAAGCGTCATAGCAGATATTTCGTATGGCGATCTATCAAAAAAATAAGGTAATATAAATTATTATTATTATTATAGAAAACTCAATTAAAATTTGTTTTGCACCGTCGATATTGAATAGAAAAAGATGATCCGAAGCTATAGGTTATTTTTAAAATTGGAACGAAGATTAAGAGTTATATAAAAAGAGAAGGTATTAAAGAATGAAGCCAGTAGCTAGGGTAAAAGCTTTGTAGTCTGTTCCATTAAATTGCGCAATTGGATGAATTAAACAGCCTTTTCAGAGAAAGAAAAGATAATGTCTTAAAAACAGTTCCCTAGAAGTAACAAACTACACAGCTTTTATCCTGGCTACTGACTTCATTCCTTATATGTAGTCAACACCTTTTTTTATATAATAACCCTTCCATTCGAAATTTCTAAACAATAGTTCTGGTTCAACTTACAGACAGGTCTTCTTTTATTCCTTATTCTGCGAGAAAAATGAATTCATCACTGTATCGTTTCATGTATTTCTGGTTCAGTGTTATAACATTATGCGCTCGATTGAACGAATTAATTTCATTGATTTCGATTAAGAATATTGCAACCTGATGTATTCACCCTTTTTTGGATTATAAATATCCAATGATGATGATATTGATCCACTGAGTAAATATTCTGATTTATTCATTCTACATTTCGATTATACATCTTTCCTATTATCTTCGCTATATCTAGATAAAACGAATATATTTGGAATAGGTAGCAAATTTACTCGTGGTATACCACGAGTAAATAATAATATGATGGAATAAAATGATTGAAGTTCATTTGTTATTGATGATGTTTTATTCGTCTAGCTTGGCGTGTATTCACTCTTATGACATTGAATTCGAGGTTAATATTGAAACATCTACTTGATCGTGATTGTAGCTAGCGTATGAAACGTATATCTCAATTTAAACCTGAAATAGCGTGTGTATTATTGCACAGACCTGTCTCTTGCTTGTAAAAAACATGTACATGTTGATCATTCATCAGATGAATCTGATAATGAAACCAATGATATCAATGATCATTCATCACTAGCAAAGAAACCAATAGTTGAATCAAAACTAGGTGTATCACATACCTTGAGATATGGTGGATACGAACATTGACTATATTTCAACCTGTTAAATATAATTTGTGTCATAAGAATGAAAGATGTAAACAGCGAACAAAATGGTTTTCTTCAGTCTTATATGTACATCACGTGCATAATTATTTTAAAGCCTACTATATCAAAAGTTAAATTAGTTTTAATTAATGAATTTTCAATCACACAGTATTATTGCTGATGTGTGAATTATGCACAAAACACCAAAGAAGATTAATGGGAATTAGGATAAGAGTTCCTTTTTGTGGGTAAAATGTATCTTTGCAAAAAAAGTAAATTTGTCGTGTATTTAGCCTGTCTGTGGCTGCATAACAAAGAATACAAGAAGATAGATTGCATTTTTCTAGAACTACTAAGCTGTCTGAAGGACAAAAAAAATTGAGTTTTTTCAAGCTATTTCTCTCGATGGTCGCCACATGCATATCGGTGGGATAGGACAGCATGATGAGAGATAGCTAGGCATGACAAAAGCACGCCAAAGTTAAAGAATTTTTCGTATTTTCGTTCTTGTAGGCAAATGAATTATAAACCACCCATTTCAAACACACTGATACTACTATGGAGACCATATAGGTTCGCAAAGCAATAAGAATAGAGGATTTCGGCAAAAACTGCAGGTTTGTGGATATTGTGAGAGCTGAAAAATCTTCATTTTAGTCGCCCCCAAATCCTGTTTTTCAGCTACAAAGTAGCGCGAGATTAAAATTGAAATATCTCAAGAAAAAACCCTACCAGCAAACTTTATTATATACCATTCAATTCAAATTTTGTCGAAAAAGACAGCCATGCCTTTTATAGGGCTTCGTGATATAGCGATCGCTACTCTGAGACTAGAAAACGCTAAATAAAGTCATATTTCATGTTTGGCGGCAATCATGCCTAAATTTGTGTATGAATAAGTTAAAAGACATACTGTCAGATAGAGTTCATCGAGATATATGGAACAGTGTATAACAGTTACTTTGGGAAGACCGTTTTGTTGATTTAATCAAACTAGGTTCGGGAATTGTGTGGCTTTACCCAATAAAATGGCCTTTCCTGAAAAAAGTGAAAGTTACAGTTGGAAAAACTAATTTTTTGCCTATATTAAGGCTACTGAATTTTACTGGAATACATGAAAAAAGCTCAAAAGAAAGTTCAGTTTTTCAAATCTGTTTTAGACTAACGGTACAATGGCAGCGCAAATCATTCACATTATTAATCACTTTTATCTCTAAAACAATAGAATCAGGCACAAAGTTTATATCAGTTTAGTCTGCTAGAATAATATTATTGAATTAGCTTATAATATATGAATTGGGACACATCCTATATGTGCGGAAGAAAAAATGCCAGAAAATAAATTTCACACATTTTATATGCTTGCACCAATTTCGTTAATTAGCGAGAAACACGCTGATGTTTGATAATTGGCATTTTCCACCGTGAAGCTAGCATCTGACAACATTGACTTTGCAACTAAAAATGTCGGAAATAAAGTTCCACATATTTTACCTGCTGACACAAACTTCGTACGTTGCGATCGGCGGCTACGATAAGTCAGTTTTAATGTTCCTGTTCTTATCAGCGGTAGCAACGGATAAAGGTCCGTTATAACAAAATTATCTCTTCTTGTACGCCATCAAAAGAGGACTTACCTATGATCCGAAGCTTTCTATTCTCATCTGTCACTTTGAAGATAATAATATATATTAGATAAATGCAGCAAAAAGGGATTCCTTGAAATTATGGCTGTTTGTCGACGTCACTTGACTTTATTTCTATATTTATATACATTGGAACATTATTTACTACTGATCATAGCACAGAAGGGAATTGACTTTACAAATGAATTTCAATATAAAACGAACTGATTCCACTCATGGTGATTGGGCCGTGAACATTTGGTTCACAATAAGCTGAAAAACAGAGTTTATCAAATAACTGGAAAAGCACACGATCCAAGCTCATTATTTGTTGACCGTTGGAAATTAAAAATGACAAATGATTTTTTTCATAGAACAATAACGAATAAAACAGTACTGGAAGTCATAACAAGGATAAAAAACAGTTCATAACATATGAAAATGAGTCTAGTTTCTTCGACAACCAAGACGCTTAATAGCAATACAGTAACGTTTTAATGCTGAATAAAATTCAGTTTTATATGTTTCTGATGGTATCACGAAGATGAGAAATGTTGTCATCGGTGATATAAACGAAACAAAATAACCAGCAAAATACAGCCATGGATTTCGTTCGGATTTCATACAACCGGAAAAGAATGAGATAATAAGTCGTGGTAAAGCTAGCAAAACTAAAATACATGGACTTATAATTAGATGTTTATGTTGTTGAAATTCGTTACGAAGATGTTGACCATATGTTTGTTGTGTACGTGCAATTGAACGCTTGCGTGCAGTTGTAAGAATAATAATAAATGCCGAGATAAAATTAATTGCAAATGGGAGAATAAAATGTGTAATGTTGAGTCCCGTATTAAAAATATTTACCGATGGTAAGTGAACATAACTAACAACACACCATGTACGCTGATCTTCTTCATCTACAATTAGACGTCGATTCAATGGATCCTGTATTGCAGTGGTAATGGTAAAAATGATAACAATGACGGCAACCACTTTTGATGCCAGCAGACTTAGAATAGAGCTACAAAGCACGCCCAGAAAAGATCGAGAGAAGTACGTTAGTGCTCAGATCCATATCATACCACACACTGTGGAAAATTTTGATTTTTCGAAAAAGATAAGACGACAAGTCAACTGTAAACACAAGTTAATTCTTTCTCCAACAATCGTCAAAAAGATCAGTACTACACTTCTGAGTTTCTAACCCCAAAACTGCAACCTTAAGGCAAAATTCCTCTCGAAGGCTAACTTTCGGCTACAAAAACTATGAGAAGAGACACAGGAAATGCTCAAAGTCTAGTAAAATATGTAATGGCAGCACGGATTAAAATGGCCAGGGACGGAGAATTCTCCGCGGACATATATTACAGATACTCACTTATCGATTTACTGAAATTAGCACCAAATGTTATGGTAACAGCGCGTTCAATAGCTACACAGGCGTTAAGCCAATCTCCAACTGGTGTCAGAAACTTAAGTAAAAATTCAGTTAATTTGTTAATTTGTCGAAAGTAAATCTCTCCCATTTTTACAAGATGGTATGGTGGACCGAAACAAAGAAAAACATTGACCATCTCCACATGTCCAACCAAAGGAGGGTTCTGGACAAGTGGTATCCTCACAGTTGAAAAATGCAGCTGTATAACAGGAACTATCTATTATCGGTATTACAGTTACAATCTCGTCCGTTCTATCAACACATCCCATAAACCAATCATCCCAATAAATTATCCAAGGGATACACTGTCCGTTACGACATCGAAATTCATCTGCTTGACATTGATTCAATTCTAATTCTAAACAATCTTTTTCATCAATACAATCATTCATACAATCACATTTTCGATCACAAATTTCTCTCCAATCTCAGCATGTGAGCAACGATTCTTGATCACATTTTAAATGCCAATAACACGTTCCGTTCGTTATTCGAAGAATTTCTGCGGGATCGTACTCTTCTTTCATATCAAATCTTTCATTCACAATTTGATCAAACGTTGTTAAATGAGAATTAAATGTATATTCACATTTTGATCCAAACCATGCTTGAGAACAGTTGTACAATACTTCTTTGCCTTCGATGGAATTCAAATGAAATTGCTCAACATATTTTTGATATTTTTCAATTTTATTCGTATCAACCGACCATCGGTACAATTTTCTATCTGTAACATTGTTTACACGTAATTCATAAAAGCTGTGTACAGTGTCTTGAATGATGATTGCTGAACTAGTATTCCAAATATTGCTTATATTAGACGGTCGAATACAATAAGGAATAATATTAAGTGGAAGCGGCAAATTTTCACGTATATCGTTCTGTTTTATGTAATATAAACAATCATAATTGAATAGGCTATTGCTTACCTTTGAGTCTATGATAGTGTCAAACAAATTAAACTGACCATCTATAGGAGATATAAAATATACTGTTGCAAGTGATAAACAGATCGAAAACAACATTTTGCTACTTTTAAATTAGAATTAATCAACGCTTCTTTAACATAAAATCATACTATACGACATTTTGTTGTTAAGCAGAAATAATAAAACTATATAAAACCTAAGCTATCTCATATGATATAACTTGTTTGCTTTTGGGAAATGGAATACTGTAATAGTTGACACCAACGAAGACGAAGATTATTAAAAGACTGAAAATAACATAGCATATGCGTGTTTATTTATATGTATGTAATAACGCCTACTTCGTTTCCTAGCTATTAGTTGACAAGCATTTGAATAAATTTTTGACGTTTTATTG